GATCAAAAGTTATTTAAGATTTAAAAAGGTTCAAATTATATCTGTTTTAGTACAATTGCAAAAATTAGCCGAAACGAGTAACTAGACTCGTATTAACTTGTGACTCGTGAATTAAACTCCGAAGAGTGTTTGAATTCTTCGATCAAATTATTTATTCGAGTTTTATTCGATTAATTCGAGTCACAACAATTAATTTTGTAAATTGAGAGTTACAAAAGCAAATATACTCAAATAGCGAGTTACGCAAACAAATATAATTCAATTACATGTTATATAAAAGCAATTATCACAGATTACAAGTTATGAAAACAAGCAGCATATTAATTATTCAACTGGAAATAATGTATCTAGCAAATCCATATTTTTTTTAACCCACCAATTCTGATCAAGGTTTAATAGTACTTTGACATGTCTTCGGCGTAGGATTCCTCCTGTTTATTATTGTTTTTTGTTTTGCGCCATATTTGTATATACGGAATGTCTTAAAAGTTATTGAAATTTTAATGTTTTTATTAAATATAGTAATTATATAGTTTATGTATTTAACTTTCAATGAATTACATATATAGCTACGTTAAAATTACATACGTACGTATTAATTATTATAAATTTTATTATTATTTTGATCATAGCACATTAATAATTGTGGCAGCTTTATTGCTGAAATTTTGCCGTATTTTATTATAAAATTACAACAATTTTGAGGGCCTTTCGTGTGGTCTTTTTTTCATATTTAGGTTAGGGTTTTTGGTAGTGTTATTACTGTATTAATAAAAGAGTATATGTGGATTCTATAGGTTTAGATAGAGACGCCAAATTTCAGCATATAAATTGAGATGTATTATCTTATATTTTATATGTATGCTATATGTTTAATTTACTAACTAATAAATACAGCAACCAGAAGATGTCTAATACGTAATATACTTTTGTATTAATTTAAAAAATAGAAAACAATAAAATCTAAAAATTTGAAATATACGTACTGCATATATATATATACATAAATATATATACGTATTAGAAATATATATATATATACATTTTTTTTTTTTACTAAACTAATCACTTTTTGGCATCAAATAGATCATTGTAGTTTTACAGCAATATACGAGATTTGTCGTCATAAAAAGACATTTATATCAGTCGTGAGTATAGATAAGTGCAGGCAAAAGAGAAGCAAAGCAGAAAAGAAATACAGCGTTATCTTCAGCATTTAAAACAATACGTGGAAATTAGCGAAAAAAAAGAATTGATAAAGATATACTATTCATAATGAACAATGCTTAAATGATGAATTAGCATAATAAAAATTCACCCTTATGATTTGTTAACTTGAAAAGTAGCAAGTAATATATTTGAAAATTAACGCAGTTTTGAACTTATCAAATGCATAAGCCCATGTGAATCCTAGCAAATACCTAGGCTACGTACAACATTCATTTTTTATATAAGCATTAAGACGATGTGTGGCCTCTACGAACTCCAATAAACGAAACGTAACGCGTTCACGTTTAAACATGTCAAGTCTCACCCCTGTCTCTTTGACAATTACACCTAATGAAAATCAAATCAACGAAACCCTAATGTCAAACAAAAAAATACATTGCTACCAAGTACAAAAGAGGTTCTCGTCCGTATCGATGTATGACCTGCTTCATGGGTTTTAACCGACTCGAACATCTCAACAGGCACTGAACATCTCAACGGGTACTTGAGTAAATTAAAAATACTATATCATTCGCGTAATCTGTACCCAAAATCATATGAATCGGTTCAAATTTTCCGTGGATTATATCACTATCATACGTACTGTTTAATTATTTCTTGAAAATTGTAAAGCCCTGCTTAAAATACAAAGTTACGATCAGTATGAAAAATTGAATCAATAAACTCGTTACATAAATCATCGACATAAAATTTATCTGTAATTTACGTATAAACATAATCTAAACATTTCGTAAACATTAAAGTTTTATCATACGTATCGATATTGATTAGCAAATAAAATTAACTATATATATAATATTATTAAATTTTTTTACTACCGTATATAAATTTTTACAAATTTGTAAAAAATTACTGTATACAGTTTACCCTCGTTATAACGGACCCCGTTATAGTGGATACCTCGTTATAACGGAGCAATTTCTGAAACAAGTTGAAAATTTTATTATTATGTTATATAACGCTATAGCGGATATTCATTATAACAGAATTTCTCAGCCCGACCACTACGTTATAACGAGGGTAAACTGTATAGCTATAAAAACTTTTTGAAAAAAATTTTATAATTTACTTGGCTAATTTTAATGGTTTGCCACTATCGACACTATGAAAGTTTATAATTTTTTTTAAAAAATAT